AAGAGGTAAAGTCCATTCTTTCTTTTTTGTCATATCCCCTACATGGTCTTAAAGCAGTAACACTCCAGTATGAAACTTATGAGCTAAATAATGATCACTCATTTTAGGTAAGACAATTGATTATAACAAAGAAAAATTATCTTTGCATTATGATCCTCTAAGGAAGCTGAATTCATTATCTGATATGAAGTGAATTGTGAAGTATTTTTGGAAGATTTTTTCCGCTATCAATTGAATAAAGGAAAGGAAACATCCTAGTTGTCTAAATGGGAAGAACAACCTGGCAAAGACTATTACTGGCAAAAATGAAAGGAAGCCTATAAGTGATATCAGATGACATCTCCTATGGGGTTATTGTAGTGGTGATATCATCTGACATCTTCTATAGGGTTATTTGGGTGAGTGTGACATTTTCTTAATGAGAAGATTAGGAAGTTGCCCTAAAAGAGCCTTATATAATGTATAAGGCCACAGAACATATGGATAAAGTGTTGCTGGAGAAGTGTAAATATGACTCTTGAAGTAGTAAATGAAGGTTAAACATTAACAGCTGGTCCAGGGGAAATGAAGAGGGAAAAAAAAGCAAGCTGTCTGTTTTAGACTGGTGTTTCACTAACCAGTAAGTCATCTTTATCTGTTTTCTATTTCAAGTCACCTAGCTAAAATATATTACATTTCAAACTTTAAGGAAATAACTGTTAGAAGTTGCTTTCTTTACTTAAATTAACCACAAAAGACATTTTAGGATTGTGACTTTAAGTTTTGAGCTGCACAGGTTTTTTTTTTCTCTCTTTAAGAAAGAAGTATTGTTTTAATTGTAAACCTATCACACCACTACTTTTCAAGGACTCACAATTTGTACTTTTATATATGAGATTTTAGACTAAAACACCATCTTCCCCACCACCACACACACTCATTTCAAAGCTATATCACAACTTTGGTTCTGCATTCTCTAGCTCAAAATCCATCCATTTGGCTTAGGAACACCAAATTTTCCATAAAATTTGAAAATCAAGATATTAGCAGTTGCTGGTTACTCCAGTTGCACAGCAGAGTTAATTGAATTAAATTTAAAAAGCAAATGTCCCAATATATGATAAATATATCTATATCTATATCTATATCTATATCTATATCTATATCTATATCTATATCTATATCTATATCTATCTATCCCTGGTGCAGTTCTAATAGTAATATACACTATTCTGAATTTTGGAAGAATAAACGAAGCTAAGAATCTTTTACCTCAAATTTCATTCTGATGGTAAAAAAAATAGTTGCTTATGACTCAGGTTTTTTTTTTTTTAATTGCCATTAAACTGCTTAATTTTTTTCTAGAGGAAAAAAAAATAGTGTAATAATAGCAAATGTTAACCAGTCCTCTACCTCTGAAAATACATGCAAAGGTATTGTATAGCATACAACTCTTCTTATTTCTAGTCTGGAGAAGAAGAGATATGTATTTTGGTAAATGAATTCTATTAGTCTTAAAAAGTTATACTAGGGGCACCTAGGTGGCTCAGTTGGTTAAGCAACTGGCTCTTGGTTTCACCTCAGGTTATGATCTCACACTTCATGAGTTCGAGCCCCGTGTTGGGCTGTGTGCTGACAGCACAGAGCCTGCTTGGGATTCTCTCTCTCTGCCCCTCTCCTGCTCTCTCTGTCTCTCTCTCAAAATAAATAAACTTAAAAAAAAGTTATACTAGAAATCCCTACAACTTTTGCTCTAGGTATATGGCTAACATTAAAAGTTGCAGTAGGGGTGCCTGGGTGCCTCAGTTGTTTCAGCGCCCACTCTTGATTTCAGCTTGCATCATGATCCCAGGGTTGTGGGATCGGGCCCCACTGAAGGCTCTGCACTGTGCGTGGAGCCTGTTTGGGATTCTCTCTCTCTCCCTCTGTTCCTCTCCTCTCCCCAGCTCAGGCTCCCTCTCCCTCTCCAAAACTAACTAACTAACTAACTAAATAAATAAATAAATAAAATTTAAAAATAAAAAAGTTGCTGTAAATATGCTAAATGCTTGTTTTATATCATGAAATAAAAAATTGTAGATTACCCCTAATAAAAATAATTATGACCAATATTGAGCATGTAACTTATTTTGCTAGGGCAAATTTATATTTTATTTATAACTTATAATCAAGTTATATAGATCTATACTGGATGGTACACCTAGACAGTTTTGCTTTATTCACTTAGTTAACATTAATGGAATTTATGACACAAGGCATTATACTTGGTAAGGTATCCCACCCACAAGAAGCTTACAGTCCAGGAGGTAAGATAAAAACATGCACACAAATAAGAAGCAATTGGTATAGATGAATGCTGAAAATAAGAAACACACAGAAGCACCACAAGAATTTACAGATAGGAGAGAGCAGAGAACTTCACAGAGGATGTAGCATTTGAGTCAGTGTTTGAAGGATGGGTAGAATTTCCAAAAAGATGAGGTGGAGGAGTGTATGAGCATTATTTATTTACCATGTATTTATTACACCCACTAAATTCCAAGCACATGGTAAGGTATTGAGGATATATCTATCAACAAGATGGATTAACATATTCTCTGCCCTCATGGAATCTATAGTCCAGAGGGATATGTATCTCAAATAACAAACAAAAATAATATTCTAACATATAACACCAACAAAACATAAAAGTAGCAGGAGCAGAGTAACAAAACATAAAAAGTAGCATAATTGGAGAATTATGCCTATTGAATGTATAGGGTATTTAAGTCTTGGTTAACCCAACTGTTTGAATCTGAAATATTGCTACATTTCAATCACTCACACATCTATGTTGTCTTTACTGAAGTAAAATAGATCATCCAGTAATCTAGATTGAGTAATTTGAAAGAAACTTTGATTAGGAAATTTAAAAGCACATATTTAAAATGTACCATTTAATGGGGCGCCTGGGTGGCTCAGTTGGTTGAGCGTCCAACTTCAGATCAGGTCATGATCTCATGGTTTGTGAGTTCGAGCCTGGCGTCAGGCTCTGTGCTGACAGCTCAGAGCCTGGAGCCTGCTTCAGATTCTGTCTCCTTCTCTCTCTGCCCTTCCCCCTTTGTGCTCTGTCTCTCAAAAATAAATAAATGTAAAACAAAAAAATTTTTAATGTACCATTTAAAAGGTAAATATACAAAAAATGTCTGCCAATATCTGGGGTTTGAGTCCTAGCTGTGCTACAAACTATCTACATGACCTGAGGCCACCACTGTGAGCCTGTTCCCCCAATTATAAAATCAAACAGTATCTACGTCAAAAGGTTTATTGTGAGAATTAAATGAGATAAAAGTATCTTAAAGTACTTCATAAATTACAAAACGTCACATAAAGGTAAGGTAATATGATTGTTACATATTTAACTTCCTATCTAATTTTACTACCTAGCCTAATCTTTACTAAAACAAAACAAAATGAAAAAAACCCACTATTTTACTTAACAAGGGTTTACTTTGTACCTACTTTGAGGTTAACCTGTTCAAAGAAGAGGTAGAATCACACTATCAGAAACTTGCACATCAGACCAAAGCACTGTGTTTGAGCAACGCTGTGAAGGACTGTCTAGCCAGGAACAGTTAGCACCTGCTTACACCATATAAACCTCTCCTTTTACCGAAGATTCATGCCGATTTTAAGTTTGATATCCCGAGGTCCTGAAACAGGTACTTTTTAGATAGAACAGCATCACTTCCAAATCTCACTAGCATAAAGGAATAGATTTTTTTTAATGGAGCATTAGTTTGGAAATTAATTTTTCCACATATTATACTATTAACAGAATAACATGTCTCTTTATAGTCCATGCATTTTAGTAACTTGCATTTATAAACAGTTAATAATTTCCAAAACGACAGAAATCAATTTGCAAAACCAAACTCCAGGAATGCCAACTTCTACTGGGAGGCCAGTCTAAGGCACATCTCTTTGAGACTGAGAACACATACAAAATGGAGGCAGCAACATTTAATCCCTTCATAACTCCACCATTCATACAGAACTCAAGAGTCCACATTGACGATATATACAATGGGTTCAGGGATTTGCTTTCCTTCCCCTTTATTTCTGATCACAGAGTTTTCATAAAATTACTCACTAGTATCATTTGGCACTACACTTAAGTAGGACGATAAATTAAATAATACATTTCATTTCTGCATAACTGCTCCAGTTCCAGTGGATTCACGAATGATTCACAAACCTCTAAATATTCACAAATAACAGGATTTGTCATAGTTTGATAAAGGCATCACAAAAATAATATTGTTATAATATATTGTAATTTCAATTATATACTGGAATTACCTCCTGTTCCTGATGTGATCTTTCAGAGAGCAATAAACAGAAATAGTCTTGTATAAACCTTTATTTCAGTAAAAGAATTTGAACCAAGCCCTTCGAGTCGAGTTGCCTCTTTAACAAACGGCAGTGATAGGCGAGCCCTTTATAAGCAAGAATTAGAACGGCTGCCCGACATCTTCCTTTTAAAGCGGTCGGCGAACCTGAGAAATTTAAGACTTTCTCCTTTTCAATCTCTTTCGCTGACGTTTCATCGTTGTGACTAATCCAACACGCGCACACGCGCGCGCGCGCGCGCACACACACACACACACACACACACACACCCATATTAAAGAGAGGGAGGAGGTCTGAATTGGGTCACTCAACTAAAGGGGTGCTATCCTGGGCTGCGAAACCGCCACCCCTAAAACCTTGGTATTCTGCTGTAATTCGTCCGCACAGCGCCTCCTGCCGGGCCTGAGGAGCTCGGCTCGCGGCGGGTGTGGAGGGCGCGGGGAACGGCGCCTCCCCCCTCCCCCGGACTCGGCCGCCCGCCTCCACACTGCTCTCCTCCCGCGGGGCGGCAGGCGCGCTCACTACTGGGCAGCGCGCACGAGGCGGGAAAGGGCCAGCGGCCTCGGCGCCAGCCGCCGCCCAGTGCCCCGAGCCTGCGCCCGACGAAGGGCCGGGCGGCCGGCTCCTACCTGGAGACGGAGCCGGGGTCCCTAAACGCCCGTCAGCGCCCTCATTATCCCGTTAGGTCTCCGCTCGGTGTAGAACAAGGGTCGAAGATGCAGTGGCCTCGGCGTGGACTCAGCTGAGCCCACAGGTTTCAGGCCTGTCCCCCAGGGCCACTCCCACTCGGGCCACACCGAACGCCCCCACCCCCCGCCCCCGGGGCGCTCCGCGGTCGGCCCGCTCGTGCCGGCAGTCCTCGGTGGGCCCTGCGCTCCCACCCAGCTCGGCGACCCCGCCTCGGCCGCGCGCCGCGCCTCTCCAGTGCCCCGGTCTCCCCGCCGGCAGCGACGGCCGAGCTGAGGGGGCTCTGTCCCGGCCCCCAGCCCCCGCGCGCCACAGCCTGTTTCCGCGTGCGGCGCCAGCCATAGCTGTCACGAGCAGTCGACAGTCCCGCGCAAGACTCAGCTCTGCTTTCCCGCCACCTCTTCGGGGGCACTGCCGGCCCCGTTCCCTTTAGAATCCCCCAGTGCGCTTATCAAGGAGTAAACAAAGAGAAGTAGCTCAAAGAGTTGGTATTAGTTGATGAGAAACCACCTCCGGGCCCCTTCTTCGCCGGGCCCGTCCGCAGGGCTGGAGCCTTTCCCCCAAATTCCGGGCCTGCGCCCGGCGTCGCCTTTCTCGGGACCCACGGCTCGCGGCGCCTACGGCGCGGGCGCAAGCGTACCCGCGCACGCGCGCGGGGGGGGGGTCTCACTCCGGTCGCGCGCACCTGGCTTCCGGCCTCCGTGTCGCCCGCAAAGCCGTCGAGGAGGGCCATTGGGTTCAGGCGCGAGGCCGTCGGGACCTCAGAATCAGCGTGGCCCGGCCACTGTGAGGGTGTGCGCGCCGCTGGTCTCAGAGGCCGTGGGGTGAGATGCCAGACGGCACTCGGCGAGACAGAGGTTTCCCGGAATCGTTATTTGGGGGCTCGTAAGACTTTTCTCCCCTAAGAGGGCCTGAGGGGAGGCCGGTGGGACACAAGCTAGGCCTCGCCCTCCCTTTCTAATCCCCGCCCACGTCACCCTACCCCGCCAGTCTTCGAGGCCCCCTCTGCACCTTCTTCCCCACCCCGCCCTGTTTTCCTTCTCGTCCTCCCCCACCCCCCTTCCCATCTTTTCTCTCTGCCTCTCCCTTCTCTTCTGCCCACTCTCCCCTCTGGGACCCTCTCCTCTCCCACCGTCTTCCCTCTTTCTTCCCCTTTGCTCGCTTGCTCTCTCACTCCCCTCTCCGGCATCTACCCTTCCCTCCCGCCACCACTCTCTACGTGGGTCTGTTTGATTGCTCATCACCTCTTAATCGTTTCTTAGTTTGTATGGAAATAAACAATCTCCGGATATGAGGTTAATTTCATCTTTTTTAGCATAATCCAGTTTCTGGTATACAAGGGGGCGCAGCCTAAGTATCAAACTCATAAAAAAAGAGCGTGATCCCCACGCTCAGGGTTTTTAGGGGAGTAGGACAAGACCACCGGTTCTTTTGATCTCTGACCCGGCCACTGCCTAGGCTCTGGAGCCCCAAAGGGCCATGGTGATTGTTGTGAGTGGCACGCGGAGTGGTGAGCATCTGGGGGCAGGGATGGAGGCTCGTGGCCCTGGCGGAGCCCCGAAGCTGTGGCCCCAAAGCTGGCGCCCTAAGGTGAGGCCCTCCCAGCTCCTCACAGACTCTTCCAGACCAGTTCCTGGAAGTCGTCTCGAGCCAGCCACGGAGCAGCAGGGCACGCCTCCACGTTACTCGGTTCTGTTTCGCCCGCGGACTCAGCCCTGGCTTTCCCTCTGCGTCAACTCATTCTTTGGAGAAAGGCCAGAAAAAAACAATGGCTCTGTCCAGCCCGAGGTTCATGGTGTCCGAGAGCCTGGATTCCCTTGGCAATCTTTCGTACTCTCCCAGGGGCAAATTACCCAAAGCCCTGAGCCCACGCCCAGGTGGTTTCTTTCTTTTTGCCGTTAGTGTGTTGACCTTCTCTGTTTTTAAAAAATTATGTGTAATATACATTGTGTATAACAAATATATTCTTAACAGAAATGTATTAGCAGTGCGCACAAGTGAAAAGAGTCTTCCAGGAAAAACACATAGCCAAGACTAGAACTGGGGGGACTTAGGGCCACAATACAACTCATGCTTCTATTGGGTAAGTGGCTTTGGGCAAGTCACTAACTTGCTCTTTCCCTTCATATCATCATTTACTAAATGAAGTTGTTGAGTAAGCTATATGATACTGTGGTCTTGTTTCAACCTAGAGAATCTCCCCCACAAAGAAGCTTTTTTTAAGAAATCTGATTAGCTTTTGAATTAGTGGGTTTTGCTTTTCTTCCTTTTAACCCTTTTTATCTCTATTACATTCAGAGAAAGAAAGTTGGGAAACAGCTACATCAAAAAGAAGAAAACATTCAGAGAAGTCTTTAAAAAGTGGGGAAAGAGAAAGAAAGTGAAGAGATCAATTAATGTAACTTTTAAAAAAATGTACCCAATTTCCCCAATGAAAATAAAACTAAACAGCGTCTTTGGGACCTCAGCTTCTGGTTCACGTTTACAAAGGAACACTGATGCTCAAGTTTGTCAAGGGCAGGGTGTGCGTTGGCTTCATAGGTCCCAATCATACTCTAAATGGAACACCCCAGGTTGCTAAATGGAATACTCTGTATCTTAATTGCTTGTTCCATCAGGTGTGTCTAAAAGCTGTTGTCTTACTCTTCTAGGGGTGAGTAGTGGAACCTGGTCCAATGTAAAATGGAGAAATAAGGACCAGGTGCAGAAGAGTGAAATGTGGTTTAAGGCATCACCAATAACATGCCACCTTAACTCAAAGTCCTGCCTTTGGTTTCTTAGGTTTACACACAGCATAGCCAATGGCTAAAAACTCTCCTCCTAAATTCACTCCTTCGTTAATAAACAGTTTGTATCTGTTATGAGCTAAGCGCTAGGGGTTGGGTGCTGGGGATACTATATGGAACAAACGTTGGGGTCCAATTTACAGGCTAGTGAGACAGATGGGTAGACTGAAAAGTGCTGTTACATAGGTATCGTGGGAGCATTAAGAAAAAAACATCAGGGGAGCCTGAGTGGCTCAGTTGGTTGGGCAACCGACTTCATCTCAGGTCATGATCTCACAGTTTGTGAGTTTGGGCCCCGCGTTGGGCTCTGTGCTGACAGCTCAGAGCCTGGAACTTGCTTCAGATTCTGTGTCTCCCCATCTCTCTACCCCTCCCCTGCTCACGCTCTGTGTCTCTCTGTCTCTCAATAATAAATAACGGTTAAAGAAAAAAAATTTTTTTAAAGAAAAAGAAAAAAACAGAGTCAAGATCAAGGAAAAGCTCTCCAGAGGTGTGCCCCTTGAGCTGAACTTTAAGGAGGAAGTTGAAAGGGGCAGTTGGGCAAGGGCGTGGGTTCGGGGCAGTGAGTAGGCATTCAGATGACATGCCTGAAGGCCCAAGGCTAGAAATAGCTTCCTTTAAAGAAGTTTAAGTAATCCTTTAAAACAAAAACAAATGGTAGGAATGAAAAATAAAGGAATAGTGGGAAAAACAGCTAAAGACTCAGGCAGAGGCTCTATTTTGAAGAACTTTATGTCCTGAATTTGAACTTTATACCCTGAAAGCTAGGGGAAGCTCTTACAAGGTTTTAAATGGGAAATAAATGAAAAAATTTTCATTTTAGAAAGATCACTTTGATGAGAATGTTAAGGACACAAAGGAGGGTTGGGTAGATTATAGGGAAACCAGTTAGAAAACTATTGCAGTAATACCTGATAGAAGTGATGAGAGTCTGAACTTAGATAGTAATAGTGGCTGTAAAATGAAATTGAGGGAGGATAAGGGGAGAGGGAGGGAATGATATAAGAGATAATAAAAGGGACTTGAGAGAACCTGATGACTAATTGCATGTGAGAGATGAGTGAAATGAATAGAGAAAGATTCCCAGGCTTCTAGCTTAGGTATCTAGAGATTTGATAGTGCCACCTACTGAGAGAAAAACCAGGACTGGAACAGAAAGATGATGTGATCAGTTTGGGTGCATGTTGATTTTGTTTTCTCTGTGAGACACCCAGGTAGAGATGTCAGATGATGGGTATCTGGGTCTGGAGTTATGTACTGATCTGGGCTAAGGGTAAAGATTTAGAAGTCACCAGCGGAAGACTAGTAGCTGAAGCTTTGGGTTTGGTGAAGTCACTCAAGAAAAGTGCTTAGTTAAAAAACCAATTTAGGAAACACCATTTAGCAGGCCATCAGAGGAAGAGAAAACCTTGAAGGATACTAAGAAGGAATGACCAGAAAGGCAGAAGGAAAACATAACAATAAGCATCATTTTGGGGGTACCTATTATCTTCTAGTCAGTGGCCTGGGATCTTTATATACATTATTTCATTGAATCCTTATAGCAACCCAAAAGGTAGATGTTTTCAAATAGAGAAACTCAAGTGCTGAGAAGTTAAGTAATTTGACTAGGATATGTTTAGCCTCTGAGGTCGGATGAAACCTAGATTGAAATTCCACCTATCAATAGCTAAGGGATGTGTGCAAATACATAATCTCTCTGACTCTCGATTTCCTCATCCACAAAACAGAACCAAAATAGAACCTACCTCTGAGGATTATTCTGAAGATTAGACGAAATAACATATGTAAAATGCCTGGCACAGAGTGAGTACTCGATACCTGATACTTCCCTTATAAATAGCTATAACCACATATCACTATGTTAACTTGAGTGGCTACTGTGTCCTCTTTAGTTCTTTGGCACAAACATGGACTCCAAATTCTCACCTAAGGTCCATAGTGCACAACTGAGTTCTGAGCTGGACTACAATATTATGATAAGCCTTTACTAAAGATGTGGGCATAGCCATATGGGAATGAACACAGAGAGCAACAGAAAGCTAGATAAAGTGAAAGTATATCATTTGATTTTAGGATCTCCTACAGAGTTAGCACCTTCCTGCCTAACTCCTTGGAGAAGTCATCTTTCCCAAACCACCAGGAAGCATTGTCAAATAGTTAATATACAGCAAAGTCCAGTAAGAATGTGATTCCACAGGGCATCAAGAGTTCTCACTGCCAAGACCCACCTTCCAAGAGACCCTGTTACCTGTTTAAGGAAATGCCCCTTCCAGATGATTAATATGGGGGACGTCCATCACTAGGAGTATGGCCTTACACTAT